CTTTACAAAATATGCCATGTGGAGTGTAAGTTGTTTTCTATATATTTGGACAGTAGAACGATTAGTATGTTCGAAACCCAAACAGTTGGGGTCTCTTGCTGGACGAGATAACAGTCAAGTAAAGATGGTGATTGTAAACCAAGATTATATTAACTGAGTCACGTGTCTTTACGTGAGAACTGTTCCTCTTTTGCATGACATTTTAATAGAGGAACGTGGTTTTACGTGGGAACTGTTCATTTATTTGAAGCCATTTTAATAGAGGAACGTGGCTTTACGTGAGAACTGTTCGTTTATTAGAAGCCATTTTAATAGAGGAACGTGTCTTTACGTGAGAACTGTTCGTTTATTAGAAGCCATTTTAATAGAGGAACGTGACTTTACGTGGGAACTGTTCATTTATTTGAAGCCATTTTAATAGAGGAACGTGGCTTTACGTGAGAACTGTTCGTTTATTACATGCTATTTTAATAGAGGAAGGTGGCTTTACGTGAGAACTGTTCGTTTATAACATGCTATTTTAATAGAGGAACGTGGCTTTACGTGAGAACTGTTCATTTATTTGAAGCCATTTTAATAGAGGAACGTGGCTTTACGTGAGAACTGTTCGTTTATTACATGCTTTTTTAATAGAGAAAGGTGGCTTTACGTGAGAACTGTTCGTTTATTACATGCTATTTTAATAGAGGAACGTGGCTTTACGTGAGAACTGTTCGTATATTACTTGCTATTTTAGTACAGGAACGTGGCTTTACGTGAGAACTGTTCGTATATTACTTGCTATTTTAGTAGAGGAACGTGGCTTTACGTGAGAACTGTTCGTATATTACTTGCTATTTTAATAGAGGAAAGTGGCTTTACGTGAGAACTGTTCGTTTATTACTTGCTATTTTAGTAGAGGAACGTGGCTTTACGTGAGGAATTATAAATAGGTCATACTATAGTAAGATACTGATCAAACTAACCTAGCAGCTAACCGGAAATAAATCGTACTGTAGTAAGTTACTGAGCGAGCTATCCTAATAGCTAACCGGAAGTATGTCATACTGTATTAAGATACTGACCAAACTAACCTAGCAGCTAACCGGAAATAAATCGTACTGTAGTAAGTTACTGAGCGAGCTGTCCTAATTGCTAACCGGAAGTATGTCATACTGTATTAAGATACTGACCCGAACTGCCCTCATAACTAACCGGAAGTATGTCGTATTATAGTAAGTTTCTGAGCGAACTGTCGTAATAGCTAACCGGAAGTATGTCATACTGTATTAAGATACTGACCCGAACTGCCCTCATAACTAACCGGAAATATGTCGTATTATAGTAAGTTACTGAGCAAGCTGTCCTAATAGCTAACCGGAAGTATGTCATACTGTATTAAGATACTGACCCGAACTGCCCACATAACTAACCGGAAGTATGTCGTATTATAGTAAGTTTCTGAGCGAGCTGTCCTAATAGCTAACCGGAAGTATTTCATACTGTATTGAGATACTGACCCGAACTGCCTTCATAACTAACCGGAAGTATTATAGTAAGTTACTGAGCAAACTCCACCGTCAAAGCTTCGCGCTGAAACGTTGTTTTCATTTATTGATTGATAAATTTTCGCCATTGGCAGGTATCATTAGAAACAGGTTGGTTCAACATTCCGCTCCAGTGAACTTTCAATGACGTGTTAGAAACAAGAAACGCGTTCCCAGACTTTCCGTGAGAAGTGAACAGGGACACTTTCTCTGTTCTATTTACCTTCCGGGAACGAATCATTCTAAATAAATACGTGTATTGTTTGGTGCCAGGAATTCATCTTATCCTGGACGACTTTGTATCTAGGCTTAAGCACGTGGAGCGGAGACACAGTGTTGATTTTTGTCACATATCACACAATATTAATTACTTTAGCTGTAAGTGAAATGTTTACATTAACGTAAAGTTTTCTTCCATCTGTGCCAATTTCCCACTACAGAATTCCCCTAAGATTTGTTTGTTTGTTCTTAGTTAAGCACAAAGCTAAACAATGCTCTGGCCGTTAGAGGTATCGAAACCCGGTTTCTAGCCCCCTAGGGAATAAAAGTTTTATGTATTTTAATATGTAATTTTAGGGAAGAAGTATATCAGAACCAAGCTCCCCCTAGCGGACAAAGATAAAACTACATTTGACACGTCTTAAAAATGGAATATTGCTTTTAAACTGCTACTAAATGGAGGAGCTTATTTTTTTAAATATATATATATTTGCTTGGAAAATCTTTAAAAGTTTTACTTTATAACAATAGTGTGTTAGTTTTTACTAGTTTTTCGAATTAAAATGAAAGAAACTGTTACAGCTGAACCCGTTCGCTACATAAAGTTTAAACTAAGATTCTTTAAATTAGCAAAATAACATTGTTACAGTTGTTGTCCTGTTATTGTGTGTGTTCAGTAAATATTAATTATCAACATTGTTACAGTTGTTGTCCTGATATTGTGTGTGTGTGTTCAGTAAATATTAATTATCAACATTGTTACAGTTGTTGTCCTGATATTGTGTGTTTGT